AAAAAAAAAAAGGTGCTGTGTTCAATCTTTGCAAAAATCAATTTGCCCCTTTGGCAAAAATCAATTAATCATATATGTGCAGGATCTATTTCTGGACTCCTTGCTGCATTTCATTGATTTCCTTATCTATCTGTTTGGCCTCGCCACACTATATTAGTAACTCTATCATTATTATATAGCTCTATAATAGGTCCTTCAGTTAGGTAGTGTAAGTGCATCAATTGTGTTTCTCTTTTTCAAAGTTGTTTTGGCTTTTGCATTTGGTCTTTTGCATTCTCTATGAACTTTAGAATCAGCTTGTTAATTTATAGGGAGCAAAGTTGCTGGGATTTTGGTTGGGATTATAATGATCTGTAGAACAATTTGAAAATAATTGATATCTTAACATTGAGTCATCTGATCCATGAACATGATATAGCTCTCTGTTTATTTAGGTATTTAATTTCTCTTAGCAATGTTTTGTAGTTTTCAGTGTATAGGACTTTTACATAATCCCTAAGTATCTCACATTTTTTTGATACTATCGTAAATGGTATTTTTTTAAATTTCAATTTCGAACTGCTTATTACTGGAATACAGAAAATGCTTTTATTGCTTTTATTATTACCTATGATAAAATTAATTTAAAATAATTATTTATTATTTTAGTAATAAAATTATTTTATTAACCATTATTTGCTAAATCTTGCTAAACTCACTCATTAGTTCAAGAAGTGTTTTTGGGCTGGCCGAGTGGCTCAGTTGGTTAAGAGTTAGCTTAAGAGCGCGAACTCTGAGCAACAGTGCCACCGGTTCAATTCCCACATGGGCTGGTGACACTGAGTTGTCACTGAGCTGCCAACAGGTGGCAGGATGGCTCAGCTGGTGAGAGCAAGTGCTCCTAACAACAAGACTGCCTGTTTGATGGTGGGCTATGCCCACCCGCAACTAAGACTAAACTCAGCACCTCGAGCTGAGCTACCACCTAGATGGATGGCTCAGTGCATAGAGCACGCTCTCTTAACAACAAGGTTGCCGGGTTCGACTCTCGCATAGGATGGTGGCTATACCCACTCACAACTAAGATTGTTACACAGCACCTTGAACTTAGAGGCCACAAGCTGCTGACAGGCAGCCAGATGACAACTGGCGCCCTCCACAACTAAGATTGAAGAACAACAACTTGGCTGGTCCCCGTCTCCCAATTCCCCAATTTAAAAAATATTTAAAAAATTTTTTTAAATAAATAAAATAATTCAATTTATTCTGTAATGTGTTTATTCTGTTAAAAATTCTGTTAAGAATTTTTGCACCTATATTCATAAAGGATATTGGTCTGTAATATTATCTTTTTGTCATGTCTTTGTCTGCTTTTGGTGTCAAAGTAATGATGGCCTCGGGGCCGGCCAAGTGGCTCAGTTGGTAAGAGCGTGAGCTCTGGTTCGATTCCCACATGTGCCAGTAAGCTGCACCCTCTACAGCTACGATTGTGAACAACAGCTCAACCTGGAGCTGGGCTGCCAAGTGGCTGGTGATGGCGTAGACTGCAGCGGGCTGCTGTGAGCTACCATGAGTGGCCGGCAGCCAGCATGAGTGGCCAGCAGCCACGAGAGCCGCCAAGAGCGGCCGTCCAATGGCCGGTGACCAACTGCCTCAGCCGGGAAGAGTGCAATGATCACAATACCAACATGGGCCAGTGAAGCGACGTCCTCCACAACTGGACTGAAGAACAAAAGGACAGCAGCTTGGCTGTTCCCCTTCCCCGATTCCCCAACGCTGTTCCCTCCTCCAATTCCTGAATAAAATCTTAAAAAAAAAAAAGTAATGATGGCCTCTTCTCTTCAATTTTATGAAAAATTTCTGCAGAATTGATATTAATTACTCATTAAATGTTTGATAGAATTCATGAATGAATTTTTTGGGGTCAACCAAATTCCACCAATAAGAAAACTACAATATTTGGAGTACTATGCAACCATTCAAAGAAATTGAACAGGCTGTATGATCTGACATACAAAGTGATGAAAATATATCACAGAACAATTTGTATAGTATGATCTTATTTATATTTTTAAATCCATCTTGTATTATGAGTTTACATACACACATTTATAAATGAACTTCAACAGCTTTATTGGAACATAATTCAATACCATACATTTAGAGGGTACATTTAAAGTTAACAAATCAGTGATTTTTAGAATATTGAGTTGTACATACACAGCTAGCATACACCAACCATGCAATCATCATCACCATCCAATTTTGACCATTTTCATCATACACACCCCCAAAAATCCTGTGCCAATTGACAGTCATTCCCATTTCCTCCACCCCCTCAGCCCTAGGCAACCACTAATCTACTTTCTGTCTGTATAGATTTGCCTTTTCTGGACATATGAATAGATCATACAGTGTATGATCGTTTGTAACAGGTTTTTTCATTTAGCACAATGTTTTCAAAGTCCATCCATGTCATAGCCTGCATCAGTACTTCATTCCTTGTTATTGACAAATAATATTCCATTGTATAAATATACTATTTCATATATATCCATTCACCAGTTGATGGACATTTGGGTTATTTCTACTTCTTGAGTATCACGAATAACGCTGCTGTGAACATTCTCTCTTGGGTAGATACTTAGGAGTAGAATTTCTAAGTCGAGTGGTACCTCTGTATTTAACTTTTTAAGGAATTCCCAAGTTGCTTTCCAAAGCAGCTGCACCATTAGACATTCAATGTAGGAGGTTCCCACCTAGGCACTTCCTTGACAATACATATTATTGTCTATCTCTTTGATCATATCCATCCTAAGGATATGAAGTTGCATCTCATTGTGGTTTTGATTTGCATTTCCCTAATGACTAATGATGTTGAGTATCTTTTCATGTGCATCTTGGCCATATATATATATATATATATATATATGTATATATATATATATGTATATATTATGTATATATATATATGTATATATATATTTCTTTGGAGAAATGTCTAATCAGCTCTTTTGCCTATTTTACATTGGGTTATTTAGTTGTAAGTTGTTTATTCATTATTCATTCTGGATTACTGTTCTTTATCAGATATGTGATTTACAAGTATCTTCTCCCATTGTGTGGTTTGTCTTTTCACTTTCTTGATGGTGCCCTTTGAAGCACAAAAGTTTTTAATTTTGATGAAACCCAACGTCGATTTTTTTTCTCTGTCTCGGTGGCATATTGAAGAAACCACTGCCTAACCCAAAGTCACTAAGACTTGCTCCTATGTTTTTCTCCTAAAAGTTTTAGTTTTAGGTCTTACATATACATACATATTTTTAAAGGACTAGGGATACTCACCAAATTGTTAAGAGTGGTCACCTATGGGAAAGGGAATGAAATTGGGGTAGGGTTAGGGTTTGATGGGGATTTTCATTTTTTCCGCCATACATTTCCATAGTTTGGATTTTTTTTTTTTACAAGCAAGGCTTACTTTGGTAATTTGAAATCAATAGACTTTTTAAAGGATTTTAAATTGTACATAGTTACACATGATCAAAAACGAAAAGATACTATGCAGAAGGAAAAAAATCCACAAAGCTAGTTATTAGAATGGGGGTGAAAGTTGTGTCAAGGAAGAGAGTTCCTCACGAAAGTAGCATCGAAACCGAGACCAGAAGATGGAGGAGTATGCTGGATATAGATGTGAGCAAGAAAAGTGTTTAGTTGGAAAGATATTGTTTGAGCCTATGGGAGAGAAGGAGATCATTAAAATAACAAAAAATGCTTCAAACTGCCTGGATTAGAGAATGGAAGGAGAGGCAAGTAAGGGGAGGAAAACAAGAAGCTGGAGAGGGACACACGGGATAGATATCCTGTCGTCTACGTTAAGGGTTGTAAACAGAGGAGTGCCCTGATCAGATTTAAGTTTTAGAAAAATCAGTCTGGGACTGTGGAGAGAATGAGGGGAAGGAGCAGGAAGTTCCACTAGCAGGCTGTTGCAGAAATCTACGAGAAGGAATGATTGTGGGCAGAGTCGGGCACTACTGGGGAAGGAGAGAAAGGGCTGGTCTGAGAGATCCTTAGAAATTGGCGACTGGACCAGGAGCTGAGAAAAACGCAGGGGCCGAGGCTGACTCCCAGTTTCCCACATGACAGCCGAGTTGCCTGGTGGCCCAATAACTAGCTGGGGAAGTGGCATCGCATTTGGGAGGAAGATGACTGCGTTTGGACGTGTGGGTGTGAATTACCTATGGAGAACCCAGGGAAGATGTTCAATAGGGCGCTTGGATATAGGGGCTGGCGCTACGAGAGACGTCGACGCTGACGAGGGAAGGTGGAGTCAGTCCCACCCTGAACCATTGCATGGGATCTAGTGATCCGCATAACAGAGCGGGACCCGAACCCAAGGTCTCACAAGCGGGACCCCCGCCCCCCCAGAGGCCAGGAACAGCCCCTAAGGCACGTGCTCACCACTGGGGTGGGGGCCCCATCCGCTCCCTCCTCCCCCAGCACGCGCGGGTCTACTGTCCCGGAGACAGGGGACCCCGGAACCTTCCGCGGCCGCCGCCTGCGTTCGCCGTGGGACCCTTCGGAGGCACCGGTTCGCTGTTGCTAAGGGGCGGCCCCGGAAGTGACGCGCCCGGGGTTTGTTGACAGCGGAGGCGGCGGCGGCTGCAGGCTCCGAGCCGTAGGAGCCGGATCGGGGGAGGGGCCGGGCCCCGGAGCAAGCACCCGGCGGCCCGCAGCCCTAAGGGCAAGGTAACGGCCACGGGGTCCCCCCGGCGCGACTCCCTCCCGCCCGGAGCTCCCGCCCCTGGGATCCCAAGCTCCGCCCCGCCGACCCCCGTGTCTCCGAGACCCCGGCCCTAGCCTGACGAGGTCCCCTGCCGGCCCGGGCCGTATCCTCTACTCCTCCTCGCCGAGGAAGCATCCCGTCCGCTCCAGGAGCCAGGGGATGCATCTGCGTCCTACCCCTTCCCCTCCTGCCTCCGGAGCCTCAGCATCGCCTCAGCATCGCTGCTGCAACCACTTGCACAGGTCCATCTCCGCCAATGGTGGGAGGGCTCCCTTCTCTACTTCTGCTGCCAGGTCTGAGAAATGTGCCTTTAAAACTGAGCTCCCTTCCTCCAGAGAGAAAATGACGCCTTGTAGGATGCCACTACAAAATGGGGGATCGATTAGGGCTGAAAGGGCCAGCCCCTGCCCCTCCTACCTGTTGGATGAGCTTAAGTTCCCCCAAAGCAGTGCTTAAAAAGCTCAGGGACGGCTCGGATTTGGATTAGCTCCTAAAAGGGATGACAAGGTGCAGAGAAATGCAACAGGGTGGGAAAGGGATGGGGTGGGGTTGCAAACCTGAGGAACCAGGAGCCTGGTAGGTGAGTTGAAAGTGAAACTGACTGTGCTGGCCACTACAGTTCTGTGGGTGGAACTTGACTTGGCTGCTCTTTGGCCCAAGGAGTCCAAGATTTCCAGTATTTGCCTGGGCCTGCCAGCACGTTTGGTTTTTCAAGGGGAGAGGGATGTCTGATGTCTCCATGGGAAAATCACCCCATATGATCTTTCCCATAGAATGTTTCTCTTCAGGGTTGAAACGGCCTAGAATGGGCATGGAAGACGGCTTTGAAAAGAGTCACAGGAGACTATACTATACTTACAGCAGGAGATGGTTGCCAGGAGTGAGGGGCCTCTCTGCTTCGGCTCATTTGGCAAATAATAAACATAATATGTGGCGTGGCCATGGAGAAAAACAAAGCAGGAAGGGCTATGGAAGGAAACGACTAGAGAGTAGTCACCTTTTTATAGAGGGTGGTCAGAAAAGGGTCTAATTTGTTGATATCTGAGCAGCAATCTGAAGGTGGTGAGGGAGCAAGCCATGCAGCTCTCTAAAGGCAGCGCCTTCAACAGCAAGTACAAAGGTCCTGAGGTAGTATATATACCTGATGATTTTAAGAAACAGCATGAGGACAGTAGGGCTGGAGCAGAGTGAAGGAGGGGAGGAGTGGTTGACGAGAAGATTGGCTAGATTATGGTGAGGAGGATATCAGGGGCTGTCTGTGCGATGCAAAGTCACGGGGTGTCTAATGGGGCACCCTTTCAGAACTGTACTAACTTGAAGTGTCTGGTACTTGGAGAAAATACAGATTTGTTTTAAATGACAAATGGCCATTGTGCTCTGGCCTTGAGTTGTAAGTACCCTTTTTCCATCTTTGTAATGAACATTGATGGAATAAATGCAAAAAGGACAGCCATAGACCACTGTGGTTAAATCAGGTCATGCCACTGCTTCCTTGTTGTGAGAACTTGGGCAAAGGACCTTTTTTCACCTCAGTTTCCTCATCTGTAAAATAGGATTGTTGGGTTACGTGAGAGATCACACACTAATTAGCACATATAAGTACTCAATACTTAGCAGTTGTGATGATGATGACGATGAGAAGGAAGTATTTGAATGTGTCTACGTGAAAGCCTTTCTTTTTAGCACCAGCTGGTGGTGTCATCCCTGAGCCAGTGGAATTTTGGGAAACAGTGCGGGAGACAAGGTGGAAACTTCCTGTCACCCCTCAGTGGGAACAGTGGTTGCATATCCTACAGGGAGGATGGTAGCTTGGTCCTGGCTTTTTGACAACAGTGGAAGGTGATGGGGACTTCTTTCTAAAGAGCTCAGCAATTCCCCATTCTGCCACATAAAATAGGCAAAATGACGGCGTTGAAATAAATATGACATGAAAACAGGTTGGGAAGGGCAGCATATGTTGGCCTTAGATATGTGGTGGGTGGGTGTGTGTGTGGCTGACCTGCTGATGGAGACTGTCGATCCCAGAAGTGCCCAGCAGAGGCTGAGACTTTGCAACCTGCCTTATAGGGAGTGGAACAGTGGTTGCTCTCCCTCCTCACCCCCTAAGCCTGCACTGTGTCATCAGGCCTGGGTCATAGCTGAGCAGGACAACTGGGCCAGAAGATTTGAAAATGGAAAGTCAGAGCACTTAGATGTAGAGAGCCAGCATGTTGGGGCAGGCTGTTGTGCTAGAACATCGGAGTAGCAATCTGGGTACCTGGGTTCGAGCCCCACCTCTGCTGCTGGCTCGCTGTGTGAGCTTAGGCAGCCCCATACCCTGGCTGGGCCTCAGTTTTCCTATCTGTACACTAACTCTGAAGGCTGTTGGGAGGATGAAATGAAAGAAGGTTGTGAAAGAATTTGGTGCACACTAAAGCTCTCTACAAAGGTTAAGAGCCATTCCTGTTATTGTTAGTGCCACCAGGATTCTGCAGACATATTTGGGGGCCCCTAGGCAGAGGGCTTCAGTACCTCAGCTGTTCTTGACTCCTGAAATGTGAGTTCAGAGTCCCCCCTTGGGTCATCTATTTGGGGATCACTGAAGCTTCAGAAATGAACTGACTTCCCAGCCTCAGAAATTAGCAGAAGGGTCCTTCTGAGCATCATTCTTAGGAAATCACTCCATACTTACTGGTTACCACCTTCTTGCCATCTTTTCATGGCATGTCCTCAGCAACCCCATGAGGTAGGTATATTTGCAACGTGTTGACAAACGAGGACCCTAATGAATATTGAGGCTGTAAATATCGTCTGGGCACCTTGTGGAGCTGCAGCTCCTTCCCCCACAACCGGCCAGTCACACACTCACTGTGTCATGGAGATGCCAAGAGTCACACCGGGTCCCTGCATCAGGAAGCTTCCAGTCCTGTGGCAAACAAATGATATATGCCCCCAGGACGGTTACCAGTGATATCTGATCATCTGTGCTTAGTGCCCTAGGACACTCCACAGAAGGCAGAGCTGAGGCTTAGAGAACCAGCTCCCGCCCATAGCATAATGGTAGAGAGAACCAGGCACTTACTGGGGGACCTTGGGCAAGTCATGCACTTCTCTGAACCATAGTTTCTCCATCTGGGAAAAAAAAAAAGATAATACATAAGTACGTCCCTTGTAGGTTATTTGTGGTTTCAATGAGAACGTGCATGCAAAGCTCAAACCACTGGGTCTTGAACTAACGAATACATGTATACATGTTGGCATGTACATCTGCAAATTACTTCGCCACTCAGCCTCAGCTGCCTCATCTGTAAGTGGTAGATTATAATAACTCCTGCCTCCTGTGGTTGTTGAGACGATTCGCAGAGTTCTTGGAATATGGTGCTCAGCGTGGGCATGAACATTAAGATTCATTAGAACCCGGTATCCCCCAGGCCCCTCTGCCTCCAGATGGCACCAGCGAGCGGTGATACATTCTCTCATTCCATTTCCACATCTTCGTAACAGAACCTACCTTGCAGGTTTAGAGCCTGCAGGCTGGCGGCCTCCTGGGATGCTCTCAGATCCACACCTGCACCCCTGCCTCCTGGAGACCCCTGGCACTTGCCCTGACTCCCCTCTCAGCAGCCTCTCACCCCCCCATATCTGGCCTGTGATCCACTCCCTCCTGGACAGCTTCCAGCCTCTGTAAATAGGGCACTTGTTTGGGTTTTCCCCCCAGCTCCTGGGTTACTATTTCACAGGATGGGCACTGCTCCAAGGCTCAGAGCTCTGGCTCCCCCATCCTCTCTGTCAGCTTGGTGTCAGGACGCTGGCGGGGTCCCGTGTTCCCTCTTCTGGACCTTAGTTTCCTTCCCCTCCGCTGGATGGACGGAGGACTGAATGGTTTGGTGAGAAGCACAGATTGAGTTTAGGGTTGTGTCCCACTATCGTGTGATTTCAGGCAAGCCTCAGTGTCTTCGTCAGAAAACGGGAACCGTCTACTTCGTGCTGTCCTGAGGTGTCATGAGGTGACTCAGGCAAAAGCAAACCATTATTCTGTTGGTGCCGGGCACCAAGGACCCAGGAGCATGCATGCAGCCAAGGTTCCTGTCCTCCCAGAGCTCACGGGCTCAGAGACAATTTGTTGGACAAATTGTTACACAAATAATGAATTAGCTGCAAGTACAGGTTCCTAGGGAATGCCGTTTTGTTGGTTAAATAGGAGACCGTATGAAATAAAACCCGTAAGGAGCTCAGTGCCATGTGTGGAAGCCACCAGCATGGAGGTGGCAGCAGCTGCTGCTGCTGTTCTCTCCCCATTGTTTCCCACCCCCAGGATGTCATAGGCTCGTGATAGATCCAGTTTTAGAGAACCTGCAAGAGTAGGGATGGAGAAAGACACAGTTGTTCTCACCACATGGTGTTCTATCATAATCAGAGTTCCCTCTGTCCCCAGTTGCCAGAATCCCAGGTGGCCAGTGCTGGCCATGAGAATGAGGAACTCTAGGGGGTGGGTGGGCAGAGATGGCTGCCTCTGGTGGGTGCCAGGCCTGCAGCTGGATGCCGTATAAGTGGCTGGACACTCCAGCTCCCAGGCCTCTCAGCCTCGGTGCCAACATGAGGTCGGCTTCTTCCTCCTCCAGCTCACCGGGCCCCAAGCAGCAGCGTTGGCACTGCCAAAGGCAGTTAGCGGATGGTGCTATCTGCCTGGTTTGTCTTTGGGGGGCTTTCGGTGACCTTGGCGGTTAACAGGGTGGTGTTTCTTCCACCTGGAGAGCAGGGCTTGGCAGAATGGCTACCTGGGTGACTGGGCTCAGACCCGCAGAAAAGGCAAACCCCTGGTGGTTCTCTCTGTGAGGGTCATGGGGGTTCTCTGTGGCCACTGGGTGCCTAACACTGTCCTGGGCACAGTGGGCAGGGAGGATACGAGAGCATGCTTTGCCTCCTGCTTCCACGTGTGACACAACCTGCAAGTCCCACGTCATCCCTTCCACAGGTGTATGTTGACACCCTACTATGTGTCAGGCCCGCAGGGGTGTTCAGCCCTTCTTTTGTCCAGCAAATAGCTGTGGAGTTGGGCCTGTTGTGCCAGTGCCTCTCACCATCTGTCCTTTCTGCCTGTGCCCATCTTTCCCGTCTCCCTGGAACACCTTTCCCTTCTCTGCCCACCACCAGAGTTAACTGTGACTCATCTTTTGGGTTGCAGCTGAAATGCCATTTCCAAGGAAGCCTGCTTTGCCTCCCCAGTCCAGGGCAGTTTCCCGCATAGGTTCCCAGAGCCGCAGGCACTTTCCTCTCCCTCAGAACACTGGTCCCAGTTACGTGGGGTGGGTTTGGGTGCTTCCTAGGTGGCTGTCTGTCTCCATCCAGAGCCAGTATGCTTCACTAGGACAAAGCCCTCGTCTGGTTTCTCACCACTGGATGCACAGTGCTCACTGGACAGTTACTGAGGGAATAAATAAATGACCAGGGCTAAGCCCAGGGATGCAGTGCCAGACAAGACAGCGTGGTTCCTGCTCGCGTAGACCTGGCCGCCTGGCAAGGAAGCCACGTAGTTAAGCTAGCATCAGTACCAAGTGTGAGCTGTCATTGTGGGGCGTGTTGGGGCACACAGCAGTTGTATCTTGGCAGGTCAGTGAAGGCTTCCCAGAGGAAATGATGTTGATACTCAGGCCTGAGGGTGTGTAGGTATCAGCTAAGTAAGGAGGAAGGAGGAAAGTTCAAAGGTGGTGTGGACTGGAGTGGTCAGGTGACGCTTCCTGGTGAACATGTATTTGGAGGTGGGAGCAGTATTTAGAGTAGAAAGTAGAGTAATTACTTGAATTTGGATGGTCCAAGTTGAAAGAGAACAGATCTGAAGGTGACCCTGTGCTTATGGCCTATTCGCCAATACAATGAAGGAGGCCAAGCCAGCTGGAATAGGGGATCGGTGGGCACCAGGTAGACCAGAAAGCTGCTTCTAATTCTGGAGGCCTTGAGTGACTGCTCAAAAAAATTAGACTTGTTGGTTTCCAGCAGGGACTGTCTCCCTGACAGCAGTGTTCCCTTTGGCTCCAGTTTCCCAGGTAAGAGAGGCTACTGGGCTCTCGAAGGTCTGAAAGTGAATGAAAGACAAAGGAAGGCCATGCCCAGGGCCCAGGCAGTCTGTTTATGGTGCCTTCCTTCAAGGGTGTCACATAGCCAGTGGGACAGCTGACGCAATGGGCCTTGTGGCAGGTGACCCAGGCCTGGGGAGCACAGGCCTGGAGCTAGGCAAGAACAGACCCTGCTGTACTTGGGGACCAGGGCAGGGGAGTTTGAAGAGGGGTGATGATGATGGTGGTGGTGGTGATAGTTGCTTTTTATTAAGCAGTTACTATGTGCCAGGCACCATGCTAAGCCCTTTCCATGTCATTCCATGGTGTCTTTACAAAGCACGCCCTATTTTAGAGAAGAGATTGAGGCGCAGAGAGGTGAAGACACTTGTCCAAGTTCTTCTGCTCTTAAGCAGCAGGGCTGAGACTTGAAGCCAGGTTGGCCTGACTCCAGAGCTCTCACAGCAAGATCACCAGTAAATGATGGGACCTAACTTAGAACTAACTGGCGATTCCAAAGGGCATGGTGCACTGTGGCCGCCCATTGGATTTCCTGAGCCGCTTGGAAGGCTCAACTATGGACGCGGAGGCTCCAAAAAGCCAGGGGCCGTGGAGCGCCCCAAATTCCTTCAGAACCCTCCGAGAGATGACAAGATGGAGTCCAGGCTAAAATCCCAGTTTGGACAGAGTAGCCTCTCTCTGTGCTCGAGTTTGCTCAGCTGTAACCACCATTTGTTGTACACTTAAGTCATGTCAAGCCTGAGACTAAGCATTTTCCCAACATTTCGTTTACTCCAGGAGCCCTGTGAAGTAGGGATTATTATCCCCATTTTGCAGATGAGGAAATTGAGGTCCACGAGGTTAAGTAATTTACCAGTGAATTGTGGAATCCGATTGAAACAGATCTGCCTGACCACAGAGCCTGTACTTATTTTTTTTAAGTTGTGTTTTTTTGTTGTTGTTTTTTGGTTTTTTATTGAAGTGCCACATTAGGTAAGGCAAGGCCCACAAAATGTGGGTGGAAATTTAATGAATGTCCACAGGTGAGCACACCTGTCCCAGAACTTCCAGAGCCCCCCTCACCCCCGTCGCTTTCTAATTGCTGCCTGCCTGCAAAGGCAATCAATCACCACCCTGACTTCTAACTTCGTGGATTAGTTTTGCCTATTTTTCCCCCCTTTCTGATGTAGACTGTGGTAGGAAAATGGTTTGGGATTAATTCCTGACTGTCCATGGTTCTATAAATGGTTGATTGTTGTCTATCTTGTTCACTCCATTTGAGCATGATGGTTCAGTTTTCGTTCTCTGTTAGCCACTTATCAGAGCTGAGGACGCACCATCGGTTAGATCACCACTTACCTAAATCCCGAATCACTTCTAAACTTGGACTTCTTTGGTGTCCAGGCCATTTTCTTAACTTTTTATTGAATTATAATATGCATTTTTTAAAGTATACACATCATGATATACAGCTCCCTGAATATTCACAAAGTGAACACACCTGTATATGCAGCACTAGAGTAAGGGACTATTAGCATCCAGCCAAACCCCCAAAGTAGCCACAGTCCTACTTTTACCACCATAGATTAGATTTCCTTGTTTTGTTTTTTTAAGATTTTATTGGGGAATTGGGGAAGGGAAGCAGTGTTGGGGAATTGGGGAAGGGGAACAGATAAGTTGTCCTTCAATCTTAGTTGTGGAGGACGCAGCTAGCTCAGCTCCAAGTCTAGTCGCCATCTGGCTGCCATTGGCAGCTCACCGCTGCTCAGCTCAAGGTGCCGTGTTCAATCTTAGTTGTGGGCGGGCGTAGCCCACCATCCCATGCGGGAGTCAATCACGCAGCCTTGTTGTTAGGAGCACGTGCTCTCATCAGCCGAGCCATCCTGCCACCTGTTAGCAGCTCAGTGGCAGCTCACTGGCCCGTGTGGGAATCGAACCAGCGATCCTGTTGCTCAGAGCTTGCGCTCTTAACCAACTGAGCCACTTGGCCAGCCCGAGATTTCCTTGTTTTTTAATTTATTGGAGTAATACATAAATGGATGCATACAGCATGTGAATATATACTCTTGTGTCTGGCTCCTTTTACTAAACATTGTTTCATCCAAACTGTTAACAGTAGTTCATGCGTTCTCATTGCCATATAGTATTTCATTGGCAAATAGATTGTAATTATTCGAATGTCAGCAGACATTCAGGCTCTTTTCTGGTTTGGGCTATTATAAACAGTGCTGCTGTGAACATTCTCGTCTGTGTCTTTGATGATCATATACATGTGCATTTCTGTTTGGGTGTATACCTAGGAGTGGAATCGCTGAATGTTGAACATATATGGGGTGCCAAAAAATGTATACAAGTGGACACTTTGGTCAATGTTGCTCAAGCAGTAGTTCACCATAATCAGCAGTGTCTGGATGCTGATGGTAACCACTTTGAGCACCTCTTGTAATTGCAGAGCTCAAACATGACATGTATTCCTCTTTTGTTATCTGTATATATTGAGTATTACAATTTTAATAGTTTTTTCCTTTCTTAAAATATGTATACATTTTTTTTGGCACCCTCTGTATTTCCATATCATCTTGTCCATGAAATGCCTGTTCAAGTCTTTTGCCCACTTTTAAATTGGATATTATATCCTTTTTTTTAAAAAAACCACTGATTTGTAGAAGTTTATATATTCTGAATACGAGTCCTTTGTTGGGTATATTATTGGAGCTATCTTCTACTGTGGGGCGTGCTCTTTCTCTTTCTTAATGCTATTTTTTGATTGAAAAGAGTCTTAAATTTTGAGGCAGTCCAATTTCTCAATTTCTGTTTATGATTCGTGTTTTTTTATGACCTATTTAAGAAATCATTCCCTACTATAAAGCCGTAAAGGTATTATCCTGTGTTCTCTTCTAGAAACTTTATTGTTTTACCCTCACACATACCTATATGTGGTCCATCTCAAATTAACTTTTGTGTATGTATGAACAGACATTTCTCTGCAGATCATCTTACCATTTTTCCCCCTATGAGTCCTATTTCAGAAATCTTTACCTATCTCAGGGTCATGAAAATAGTAGGAGACTTCACTTGTTTAATAGCAGCTGTATTGAGTGATAATTCCTGTATCATACAGTTCACCTATTTAAAGTAGATAATTCACTCATTTTTAGTCTATTCACAGAGTTGTACAGCCATCGCCACAGTCAATTTTGGAACGTTTTCATCACCCCAAAAAAGAAACTCTATACCCACGAGCAGTCACTCAACCTCCCAGGCCTAGGCGACCACTAACCTACCCCTGTCTCTGCAGGTTTCCCTTTTCTGGCTAGACACGTCATATCCATGGAATCATACAGTATGTGGCCTTTGGGACTGGTTTCTTTCACTTAGCGTAACGTTTTCAAGGTCCAGAGTTGTAGTAGGTATCTGTACTTCATTCTTTTTATGGCTGAATAATATTCCATTGTATGGATAGCCCATTTTTGTTTATCCATTCATCAGTTGATGGACATTTGTGTAGTTTCCACTTTTTGGCCATTATGAATAATACCGCTATGAACATTCATGTACAGCTTTTTATGTGGATGTATATTTTCATTTCTTTTAGGAGGACCTTTATGCTTAATCATATATAATGAGATTCAGTGATAACGTGTCTATAAAGCCCAGGCGCATACTAAGTGTTCCAACAGTGACAGTTATACACAGGTTAGGTTACACAACAAGGGACACCCCCGTGTAGCTGTTAATGAAAGCCCCTATTATCCCCACTGAAGCATTGGCGCCCCAACACTGTCTGCCCACAGACATTGCAAAGGCATAGAAATGCTTGGACAAGACCCCCTGCTCTTTGCAGGTCAATTCACACATAGATGGTGGCTCAGAAGAGAGTGGCAGGGAGGCAGTCAAGAGTCCTGGGCCCTGCAAAGCTGCTAATTGGAGTGTGACATCTGGGGGCCTCAGTTTCCCTACTCTGAGAGTGGACATAGGGCAGCTGGTGGGTCTGGCCCTTGTGTGTGGCTCACTTAGTCTTTCCCATTCTCTAGGCTGTGGCTCTGCCAATGATCCTGTGAGTGTTAAGGCCTCACTGTCGCCCCTGGAGGCCCCTGTCCTGGAGTGGCCCACCTGCCTGTCCCCAGCATGGCGTCCGACACGCCTGAGTCCCTAATGGCCCTCTGCACCGACTTCTGCCTACGCAATCTGGATGGCACCTTGGGCTACCTGCTGGATAAGGAGACTCTGCGGCTACATCCAGACATCTTCCTGCCCAGCGAGATCTGTGACCGACTTGTCAATGAGTGAGCAGGCCCGGAGCTGGGGCAGGGGCACAAGTCTTAGGACGAGCCTGTGTGGAGAGATTGGGACCATTGTGTGTGCACCACACGGGGTGTGGCTATGGATATGGATGTGTGAGGGTGTGTGTGCATGCACATGTCCGTGGGTGCAGGAGAATACTGGTGTATCCATAACTGCAAAGTTATATGTGTGCATGTTGGTATGTGCATGGAGGGGTGTGCACGTGAAAGAATGGGTATATGTACATACGCGGGCTTCTGCAGCACGGAATATTTGAGTGTGAAACTGCAGGTATGCGTTACACCTATGAGCAGGTATAGAAACCTGCACATAAATGAAGGACTTATGTGCTGCCCTACACGTGTGTGTGTACACCTGTGCCTGTGAACACATGTCTATGTGTGAACATGGCCATATACAGGTTTATACACCAATGCCCAAATATGGCATCTATGACCAGGGATCAAGTCATTCAGAAAATTTTTACATGGCCCCTCCAAGGGACTCGCCACTAGTAGAGGCTCCTAGAAGCATGATATGTGTTCACTGACCGCTGGCAGTTGAGTCAAGATGCCCAGAAGGGAAACTGTTAGACCAGACAGATACATATAAAAGTGGGAACCTGTGTGTGACCTGAGGATGGGGCCCAGCTTGTAATAATGTTCTGATCATTTAATGTGTGTCAGGTAGCACTGGCCTGGATGCTTTGCAGACCAGAGTTATGTCCATTTCACAGATGAAGAAACTGAGGTCTGGGAAATTCAGTGACTTGTGTGAAGTTGCGCAGGTAGTGAACAGCCAAGCTGGATTTAGATTCCAGATTCCAGAGTGTTTGACTCCAAAGCCTTTCCCACCAGACCAGGATTCTTGTATGAGCTGCCATCTCAGCAGGGTTTTAGTGAGGGCTTGCCTGCACCCCGCTGGGGAATCCAAACCCCTTGGCTTAATCTTCCTGTTGGAAAGGGCCCTGGGAGGGGCTAGTCAAGGAACCAGAGCTGGCTTAAAGAAGATGAGGAGCGTGGACATGAATGTTTGTTATAGAGGTGTCTGTGGTTGCGGGGGAAGAGTTCGGGATTTGCTATTGATGAGAGGCCCCTTTATCACCAGGTCTACCTTTGGACTCCTGGTTATGGGGGTTCCTGGAGCCACTCTCAGACTCACCTGTAGGGTAGTCAGTGTCCAACCAGGCACTATTAGGAAGAGGAGGAGGAGAAGGGAGATAGGTTGCTCCCAGTGTGATCAGAGAAGGCTTCAGGGAGGGGAGGGCTTGTGCTGGGCCTTGAAGGGAGGACGAAGGTCGCTGTGCCTGTCCCGAGTCAGATTTTCTTCCCTCCCAGGTATGTGGAACTGGTCAACGCTGCCTGCAACTTTGAGC